ATATTATAACTGAAAAGTAACTAGGAGTCAAAGATAATCTGAAGATATGCTTACCTGCTGATACTGACTCAACACTCTCAATATAGTAAGTAAAATAGTTTTCCGGCCTTATAAGGCTCGGTATGTGTAACTGCTCTGTCGTAGTAGGCTCGCTCATAGGCGCTCGGCCATCCTAGGTTCTGTATCTCAGCCATTCAGGGCTCGCTCATAGGCGCTCGGCCATAGTAGGTTCGGTATATATCTCACCATCTGATTATAGGTTGCCAAATAGGGGCTTGCCCATCGATTATATCTCGATGGTGGTGAAAATACTGTATATATATAGACTCTTTACTCTCTTGGATAACGGAAGACAAAACTAACCTGAATATGAAGTCCCGATAAGGGAGAATGGTGTAACTTGTGAGACTAGGAAAATGTACATAAATTCAGTAACATGAACTTCTCTTTATGTCTCGTTATCAAACATATGTAGTTACTGGATCATGCCAAAATGAAAGAAAGGTTTATCCTTAACATACGTTAACTATGTTTAGTCCTTAATACCTTCCAAGCAATTTTTCAAACAACTCAACTCAATCTACCACTATATAAGGAGATCCAAAATCAGTACAGAGTAAAGGCTAAGTTCGCAACTTAAACTAGTAGCTCGTTTACATAAATTTGGGCAGCATCTCCCCTGTAACAAGGCCCTCCTCCAATACCATATACCAACAACACCAAGAACACCACAATAAAAACATGTGTGAATCATTTTCCAACCCCATCTTCATCACAATATCCCACAAAACAGGCCACACCCCCTAATCACTTCATACATAAAACGACAACCAAAGTAGTGCCAAACAACCCAAAAAGTGTAACCACGAATGACCAGCCCATCACTCTGCCATTATGTTGTGTTTATCCACACCTTTTCTCCTCCAAAACTCCATAAAACATCAGCACAATAGGCCAACATGAGTGGACTACAAAACAGTCCACTAAAAGTGAAATGAATTGAACTCACGGCTTCCGATCACCGTCCCATGAGTTCTAACAATTAGGAAACCAATTTATCAACCTTGATTGATATTTAAACACTTGAATACAGAAATTAGATGTTTTCTTAACTATGAAGTACTTTCCAAAACTCAAACTACACAAGAAAAGAGAGGCGATATAGCGATACTTACGCTGTGGGGATCGTTCTAGTGTTATCGCTTCTTGATTTCGTACCCGGGATGTTAATATTATAGGAAACCCTTGTGGAGAATTTGAGGATAAGTTTAGGGGTCTTATTCTGGTCGTGGTATGTCGAAAAGTGAAGAAAGAGACGATATCAGGCCTATATATATATCAATTTTTGAAAAGTCAAAGAGGTGCTAGCTTTGCACCTTATTATTGGCTCTTCTTCAGATGCTTATATCTTTTTATCGGGATGATGAACAAACGGTTAAGAGAGTTAGAAAATACATTCCAAGACCTTCAATTTGGTATATTATTTGTCCCAAAATGACCTCATATAACACACGAAATGTATTTCTCAAAAAGCTTTAGTTACACACCTACTTGTCACATATGCAGTCTGCGTAATCTCGCAAAACTGCAAATATCTCTCTCAAATAACTTTAGTTACACACTTACTTGTCACAATCTGCTGATTTATCTGTATCCTCTTGTTTAGCCATAACTAGGCTTATCCTGAAACAATTACTAACTACTCGTTGGTCCATACTCATATCTATATTCCACGTAATCTCTCTTGGGTTGTTTCCTTTGTTTTAACTTACCGATCTCATTGGCTCCTTATGTATCAAGTGTTCATTTGCACTAATTTATCAATAATATCCTGGGAGGAAACCCTTACTGCATCTCCCCGCCATCGTGCTTTTATAATGTCCTGGAGTCATAACATATATGTAGGATCTGAATAAATGCAATCTCACCCCTTTCGCCTTTTTACTGCATTCTTCCTTTACTAGTCCATAGTTACCTCTTTATCCTTGGTATCTTTTCATATCTTCACTGGCTCTTACTTGCCTTGCGGTAACCCTACTATAGCAGGGATAACTAAATTTCTTAGCACGAGGGTGACACCTAGTGTAACTTGAACACTTTGTCCCTTAAGCATGACTCTGCTCACATTGCTTGCTTTAGGGAAGCGTCTTCCTGAATGACCCTTAAGGTTATTCTTCTGTTGACCATTCTATCATTTTCGGAACACAATTTCTTTAATTCTTACGATGCCGACTATTATCGAATCCTTTGGTCCCTAAATCATGTTCGATATTGTTTTTTCTTGTTTACTAGACTATGTTAATTTCTATTACTCTGGGGTCTACTTAGCCTTCTGGTAATTACGTTGGAGTTGCCAACTCATTTTCTCGAAATGAGGATATGACTTTATGGCTTATACTCTTTTGTAGTCTCAAGGCCCGTCACCTCTTATCTTTTCCTTTACTTGACTATAGACTATGTCATCCTGTCATATTATGATTTACCATTACCACCCTTTTATCACATCTTACTCATAATGCTTCATTTACTCTCTTCTTATTCTCCTTCTAATATCTCCTTCTATCACATTATTCTGAAAGCTTCAACAAAACATTGTTTCACTTTTAGCTCCGTGGATCATTCCACCATTTTGGGTTACTCTAAGCCCAGCTGGATCCTGAGGTCCCATCTTTCTCTTAAACAATAAATGTTAGCTCCCATAGGGCATAATTGATGTGGGTGTGGCCAATTGTACATACTTTTGTTACCCTTGACGGTAACTCAAATACTTATATTTCACTACCAGAATTGCAAATATTGATAATCTTCACTAACTGGGTATCAAGCACCCATCTTCACCTTGCTTATTTTACTTCTTGAAAGTTGTGTCTACCTCCTAATTCTCTTATTGCTTTTCACCATATAGGTGTATAGATTTTCATGCCTTTAGGGTTCCTTATCAAGAAGCTTACACGTCTTAGTGCACACATGATCTGTTGAAGACCTCACATTAACTAAGCGTAAGCATGATGCAAAATCGAGCTCTTCTTAATCAACTCTTCTATAGCCTCATTCAATCTCTTAACAACTGGCTTTCTGGATGTAGATATCATTGTATTATGAATAAAATAAAAGTTAGGAGTTTGAATCTTATAACTAAGCTCTACCACACGATCTAGAGTAAGAAGAAAGAGTGACAATCCTAAATTCCCTGTAGCCTCCTCCTTATAAGTGTGGTGCACAACATACCCATAAACAAGACTCTACTAGACGCGGCTTGTAGACTCCCTAGGACAGAACTGCTCTGATATCAAGTTTGTCATGCCTCAAACCTGAAGAGGTTTGGCCGGCACCCTGTGCCATAGCCGGCCCGAGCATACCACTCTGTAACTGTGAACTATATGGGGTAACCTTCAACTTAGGTCGACGAGGCCGTGTTTTGAATTGTCTGAAAGTAACGTCTCTCTCATCTATGGGGTAGACATACCCAAAAGCTGATATAAATATAAATAAATAAATATATGTATATATATATATATATATATATATATATATATATATATATATATATATNTATATATATATATATATATATATATATATATATATATATGCAGGCCGACGAAGCCGCCATGAACATCTACTGATATACAAAATATACATAACTCGTCTACAAGCCTCTAGATATAACTGAATTGTACCATGGTCGGGACAAGACCTCGACCTACCCATCAAACCTGTATATATAAAATGGACTCCAAGGTCTAGACCTGGTAACTCCGAGGAAGTGAATCTTACCAACCAAGCTAATGTTTGACTTTATCTGCTGGGAGGGTCTGTCCAACTATCAATGAGAACCTGCACGCATGAAAATGCAGCATCCCAGCAAAAGGGACGTTAGTACGAAATAATATACCGAGTATATAAGGCAACGGAATACCTAAAAGCTGAAACTGAACTGATAATATTATAACTGAAAGTAACTAGGAGTCAAAGATAATCTGAAGATATGCTTACCGGCTGATACTGACTCAACACTCGTAATAGAGTAAGTAAAATAGTTTTTCGGCCTTATAAGGATCGGTATGTGTAATTGCTCTGCCGTAGTAGGCTCGCTCATAGGCGCTCGGCCATACTAGGCTCTGTATCTCAGCCATTATGGGCTCGCTCTCGGCCATAGTAAGCTCGGTATATATCTCACCATCTGATCAGAGATTGCCCAATAGAGGCCTGCCCATCGATTATAGCTCGATGGTGGTGAAAATACTGTATATATATATATAGACTCTCTGCTCTCTTGGCTGACAGAAGACAAAACTAAACTGAATATGAAGTCCCGATAAGGGAGAATGCTGTAACTTGTGAGGCTAGGAAAATGTACATGAATTCAGTAACATGAACTTCTCTTTATGTCTCGTTATCAAACACATGTAGTTACTAGATCATGCCAAAATGAAAGAAAGGTTTATCCTTAACATACCTTAACTCTGTTGAGTCCTTAATTCCTTCCAATCAATTCTTCAAAGTGTATGAATCATTTTCCAACCCCATCTTCATCACAATATACCACAAAACAGCCCACACCCCATAATCACTTCATACATAAAACGACAATCAAAGTAGTGCCAAACTACCTAAAAAGTGTAACCACGAATGACCAGCCCACCACTCTTACATTATGTTGTATTTCTCCACACCATTTCTCCTCCAAAACTCCATAAAACATCAGCACAAGAGGCCAACACAAGTGGACTACAAACAGTCCACTAAAAGTGAAATAAATTAAACTCACGGCTTCCGATCACCGTTCCGTAAGTTCTAACAATTAGAAACCCAATTTATCAACCTTCATTGATATTTAAACACTTGAATACAGAAATTAGATGTTTTCTTAACTGTGAAGTACTTTCCAAAACTCAAACTACACAGGAAAAGAGAGGCGATATAGCGATACTTACATCGTGGGGATCGTTCTAGTGTTATTGCTTCTTGATTTCGTACCCGGGATGTTAATATTCTAGGAAACCCTTGTGGAGAGATTGAGGATAAGTTTAGGGGTCTTATTCTGGTCGTGGTATGTCGAAAAGTGAAGAAAGAGACGACATAAGGCCTATATATATCAATTTTTGAAAAGTCAAAGAGGTGCTAGCTTTGCACCCTATTATTGGCTCTTCTTCAGACGCTTATATCTTTTTATCTGGATGATGAACAAACGGAGAGTTAGAAACTACATTCTGAGACCTTCAATTTGGTATATTATTTGTCCCAAAATGACCTCATATAATACACGAAATGTATTTCTCAAAAAGCTTTAGTTACACACCTACTTGTCACATATGCAATCTGCGTAATCTCGTAAAACTGCAAATATCTCTCTAATCCTATGTTGTATCGATGAACGGATTAATGAGTTAGAATATAGACTCGTAAATTTTCGATTTGGTAGGTCGATCATCCCCTAATTCCAAGTATATTGGGAGAAAAGCTCCGCTACATTTGGCCTAATTTTCAGCACATTTATGAATGTAACTTGTGATGACCTTTGCCAACTTTTGTTCCACAACTTGCTTGACTTAAAAACGTAACACACGACTATCATAAGCCTAAAATAACTCATAACATAACCTCCTTATCACTTTAAGAACCCTAGTCTCACCCCAAAGTGCATGTTATAACATTCCAAACTTATCGACTTTCGACGAAACTTATTTTCTTCAATTCGTTTAGCTTCTAAGACTTCCAACCCTCTTTGTATTTGGTATTCATGATCTTAAATATTTGTAACCTCCATGGTATCATGATTAACTTAATTTATGTACTTTCAAAGTTGATCTCATTTTTGATCTTACCTTAAATGACTTAAGACGTACTCTTACGTACGAAAACATGGGGTGTAACAAGTATTTTCCAAGTTGTCACAATCAAATTCATCCTCTCCAATTGCTACTCCCGTGGAATAAAATTTAAATCAATCAGAAGAGCAACTTCAATCCTCTAAAAGACAAAGACAAGGAATAGATCTCGATTCTTTACCGACTGATCCAAAGGAGAGAATACCCATTAGAGTCTATCGTCCAAATGAGCGTGATGAGATTAGAAGAGAATATCTCCGAAGAGGTCCTTACCAACCCCGATATCATAAGTTTCCTAAAAGAGGTTTTTCGGGCTTGAAGCACCATTTAAATGCTAAATGGTTTGATGAATATCATAATTGGTTGGAGGGTAAAATCTCTTCATTGTAACACATCGCCTCCACCTTGATGAGCGCATTCATCTTGATGTTTATTATTTTTGTTGGTACTTATTTCAGGATGAATGCATTCAACAAGGTGGAGGCGCTGTATTTTCAAGTTTAGAATTTAAGAGTTGGGCACAAAAAGTAGAGATTAGATATGCATGTTGGTAAGTCGAGAAGTATTCATAATCAGGAAAAAAGGAAATGTGAAGATCTATTAAATCAATTCAAACTTCATTTGATAGGCAATCTAGTAAAACCGAGCTTGAATACAAATTTGCTTGAAGGCTTCAATTGAGGTGGTAAGACTCCTATTGAATCAAGGATTGGCATTACGTGGACACCGTGAAGATAAATCATCATTAAACAAGAGTAACTTTCTTGAGATTCTTTTATGTTATGCAAAGAGGTGTGATCAAATCCGTGATCTTGTGTTGAAAAAGGCTCCAAAGAATGATCAGTTAACTTCTCATAAAATTCTAAATGATATTATCATTGCATGTAAGAATGAAACGGTTAAAGCAATTATGGATGATCTAAATGGTGACTTTTTTGCGTTGCTAGTTGATGAATCATGTGATGTATCACGCAAAGAGCAATTAGCTATTGTCTTGCGATATGTTAATAGATGGGAATATGTGGTGGAGCATTTTATTGGGATCGTTCATGTTCGTAATACTAGTGCTTTGTGTTTAAAGGAAGAAATTGTTGATTACCTTGCTCAATATTTTTTGAGTTTATATTATGTGTGTGGACAGTGCTATTATGGAGCAAACAATATGCAAGGGGATCTACGTGGCCTTAAAACTTTGATTTAACAAGAAAGTAAATCAGCTTATTCCATTCATCATTTTGCACATCAACTTCAATTGACTCTTGTTGCGTTGTCCAAAAAGTAGGAGAACTAGTATTGTTGGTTTCTAATGTATTGAATATAGTGGGAGGCTCTTTTAAATGTATGGATGATCTTCGAGAATCTCAAGCAAAAAAGTTCAAGAGGCATTAGATATGGGTGAACTTGAAACTGGTAGGTGTTTGAATCAAGAACTTGGTCTTGCTAGAGCTGCCGACACTCGTTGGGGTTCGCACTATAAATATTTTGAAAAACTTTATTTTATGTTTCGCTCAATTGTTGATGTTCTTGATACTATTGTTGTTGATGCCCGGACTTTAGAAGAAAGAGCTAAGGCAAAGGGATATCTTACAACTTGTCAAACATTTGAGGTTGCATTCATGTTGCACCTACTGAGAGATATTTTGGGGATCATAAATGAGCTTAATACATCCTTACAGAAAAAGGAGCAGGATATTGCAAAATTCTATTCTACTTGTTGAAGTGGCAAACAGACAGTTGCAAAAGCTAAGAGAGAAACAATGAAATTCATTTATTGATAGGGTGTCTGCATTTTGTGTCAAGTATAACATTATGATACCAAACTTTGATGATCTTTATGTTAACTCTGGAAGATCTCAACGTAAAGTTGCTGATTATACTATTTTACATCACTGTCGCGTCGATGTATTTTTAAGATTATTGATTGGCAAGTTCAAATTAATGAGGTGACAACGAAGTTGCTTATTGGAGTAGCTTGCTTAAATCTAGTTGACTCATTTTCCAGTTTTGGCATAGTAAAGATATTGGGAATGGCTGAATTGTATCCTGACAATTTTGATGAAAATATAATGGCTACTCTCAAGAATCAGCTTAAAACTTATATTATTGATATTCGTGATGTTGATGAAAGGTTCTCAAATCTAGTAAAGACAAAGAAGCATTTGAATTATCCATATGTATTTCGCCTTATGAAATTTGCTTTGCTTCTACCAGTTGCCACTGCTACAGTTTAAAGAACTTTTTTAGCGATGAAATTTATCAAAAGTGAATTACAAAACCGAATGAATGACAAATTCATGAGTGGTTGTTTGGTGCCTTATGTAGAGAGAAAAATATTTAACACCATTTCTGATGAGACTATAATGAATAGGTTTTGGGAAATGAAAACTAGTAGAGGAAAATTTTAGTAATGTATTTTGGTTTCTTAAGATTAATAAATATTTATTTTTGTTGACTTCTTTGTATATTTGCTTCTTCACATTTGAACCCGCTTGATAAAAATCCTTGGTCCGCCACTGGCTAGTGTAGTTCAGAAGAATACGTCTAGTGAATTGTGGTAGTTTCTCGAAAGAAAACTATGATACCTGAAGTACTCACAATCGGTAGAGAATACTTAGGCAAAATTATAGGAGACGTAGCAAGAAGAATTCCGAAAACTGAGAAAATCATAACTCTAGGCCTCCTTAGTTTTATCTCCAACTCCATCCTCCTTAGTTAATAATTTTTATTGCTTTTAATATTTGTTGGTTAATTAGTTAAAAATATAAGTCTTATCCTTTATAATTTAATAATTATTCGAATTCGTGTTTCTTAGCAATATTAAACAGTTATAGTAAGCTTTAATACTCTGCGGGATTCGACTCCGGACTGACCGGATTATATTTGTAGCGACCGTTAGACCTTTTAGGAGGCATAGCTGGACGTGATTAAATTTTGGCGTCGTTGCCAGGGAACTAACTGTGTAGTTGTAGTTGTAAATATTGTTAGGTTTCAAGTTTGAACTCTCATTTACTTTGTTTTCTTTTGCTTTATGTTTTAAAATTTTACTACTTGATTTGAGAAATATGGCATCTTGAAATTTTGGGAGGTTTAATGTAATTATGCTTTTGATCTTTCTTATGCATATTGTGGAAAATATCACCCGTGATAAAATTTTCAACATATTCCCGGGAGCGAATTATATGCACCAATTCAATCTCATTTGCGGAATATATGTGATGTGTATGGTGGTCATGATAGTCACTTTTAAGGTTGTTCTTTTACTTTTTATCATCCCCAACCCCTTTTTATGATAGTTCTACGTTTTCTTATGAAGTTAATAGGAATAAAGAACTTGAGGATGCTGACCTAAATGAGATCAAGGATACGTTGATGTGCCTCTTGGAATAAAATAATGAGAAAGAACAACAAATACAAAGGCAAGAGGCAACTATTGGCAACTTGGAGGCTCAAGTGACTCAACAAGCTAATATTGTAGATAGTAGCCAAAAGCAACATGAATTAGATGCAAAAATTGAGGTGCTAATGGAGGAGGTCAGAGTAGAACACCAACAATCAATCCAACTAGAATTTGAGGATGCCCATGTTGAAGTGGTGGTACTAGAGTTAACCGAGAATATTAAAGATGCAACTTTAGTCGACTCTAGTTTGTATCATGAAGAAGGTGTGAATAAGCCTGTAATTTTCAGTTTGAGCGTATTTATCCTTACTCCAAGTATTTATCCACATTGTGTTTAGATGATGATACGGAAATAGATTCATCCAAGCCAATTGAAGAGTCAAGCTATCAGGAACAAGGTGCCTACATTTTGGAGTTTTTCATGCCAGAAAGTTAGGATTACACACCTCATGTAAAGGCCAAGAAGTGCAGTATACTACTCCCTCCGTCCCAATTTATGAGAACCTATTTCCTTTTTGGTCCGTTTCAAAAAGAATGACCCCTTTCTAAATGTGGAAGTAATTTAGCTTAAATTCCCAATTCTACCCTTAGTGAAAAGCTTTTATAACCACACAAATACTGTGGACCCATTTTTGAGTTGTTTAGGACCACAAATTCCAAAAGTCTTCATTTTTTTTAAACTCCGTGCCCAGTCAAACATGTTCTCACAAATTGGAACAGAGGGAGTATATTATTTTCTTGGGCTATTTAGATTTGTTCTTCCGCCCGTGGAGCTTAGCTGAAAACTTGAAGCCAAACTGGAAATTCATAGTATAAACTCGAGGTGGAGGCAAAAGGTAGTTCATATCGTGCCACGACGTTAACTAAGGCGCTTGTTGGGAGGCAACCCGACTTTATTATTTTCTTTTATTTTTTATTTGTTTACCTTTTATTGTGTTATTTTGTAGTGTAATTTTTTATTTTTTAGGAGCACAGAAATCAAAGCTATTGGAAGGATAACCAGATGGTTAGAACTAAGTGTGAGGTACCCACACAAAGAAAAATACCCGTGGAGAAGTCTGAGTATCCCATGAGCTGTTAGTGCTTCGGACTTTGTCCTACTAGGGAGTTTCTTTTACCCTCGTATTAATTATGGTGTGTATTGGGGACAATGCACAATTTTAAGTGTGGGGTAAGGATATTGTCTGGGTGACTGTTTATACTACTGTAGTTGTGTTAGTTTAATTGATAATTTTTTCTACAAATTTTTTTTAGACTTTTCTCGGGGATGGATCTCCTAGATAGTTTTCTTGAGGGAGTAAAATCTAAAAAAAATACAAAAAAAAAAAGAAAATAAAAAAAATACAAAAATATGTCTTTTATTTTCCTTAGGTAGTAATAAACCCTTGTGATTTTCTTTATGCCACAGTTCTTTTCCATAGAATGTAACTTGAACCAAATAGTAGTAGTAGTTCTTTTAGTAGAGTAGTATTTAGGAAATAAAGGAGAAGAAATAATGCAATCCACACCTTTTGACTTGTTTGATGGTTACATACTTAGGTTTTGACATGTGTTTCACCTCCCATTGGTTTTAAATATATGATGATGCCTTGATAAAAATGAATAGTATGTGTTATGACTCCTATATCTCGTTTGCTTGACTTGTGTTCGCTTTGTGCTTAATGCTTAATATATCTCTTGGCTTTGTGAATACTTGTTTGATTGAGAGTTGGAATGGTACCATCCCTAGTGAGTCATGTGCCATGTGTAAAGTGAGTTCTTAGTATAGTCCATGTGTTGCATTTGAGTCTATAACTTTCCCAGAATGTGAATTGAAGCGAAATCCTAGGTGTTGCTCCGTGTGAAAAGTGATATTAGGCCTTCTTTGATCCTTTTGAGTTTTGTTTCCTATCACAAAAAAAAAATCATCCCTAGTTTACCATTTTGAGCCTATACGCCTTTCTTTGGTATTCGCATTATACGCCTATACCCTTTTGTTTTAAATTGAACCGCTTTGATCCTTATACCTTTTAAAGCACTTGAACTATAAAGAGAGCGCTAGAAAGAAGTAATGAGAAAATTTAGGGTAGCTTTTAAGTCGAACCAATAGAAGAAAGAAAGGTGCACTTGTATCATAAAGAAAACTCCACTAGCGGCACGAGCAAAAAAAAAGAGAGAAAAAAGAAGAGGTGCAGAAAAATGAGAAAAAATATAAAGGCTTCTTGTTTTTGCTAGTGAGTGTGAGTTATATTAGTGCTTAAAGAAAGAGTATACATATTTTGGGTGATCTTTCTTGTGATGATTGAAGTGGATTGAGGAAGTTTTGCGCTTACATTTGGCTACGTGATGTGTTAAAGTGCTTAGGAGGATTAGCCATTATTTTCTAAATATATCCTACCCGTCCTTTAGCCCATATTACAACCATAATAAAGTCTTAGCTCATTTTGGACCGAGCGAGCCTACATTAGTAAAGGTTTACATAATGGGAAAGCCTATGGTACCTTTTGCGTACATGTGACTTCTTTGAGAGAGTGAATGAATTTTTGTAACGACCTTGCCGGTCATTTGATTATCATAGCCCTATTCCCACATCTATTGCTTATTCTACGTTCATTTGTTGTTATGTGACTGACCGGGGTGGTTAGTTTAGTTCGGGGGGTGTTTCGAAATGAATTGAGACACTTAGTCCTAAGGTTGTAAGCCTATGTTGAAAGAGTTGACCGACTATTGACTTGTGTATAAATGACATCAAAATGGAGTTTTGATGTTTTCCGATATCTTCGCATGGTGATTTGGACTTAGGAGTGTATCCTATATTTATTTGGAGGTCCGTAGGTGATTTTGGCTTGAATTGGCGAAATTTGGAAAAGTTAAAGTTTGAAGAGTTGAGAAGTTTGACCGAAAATTCACTTTGTTGTTACCAGACTCGAATTTTTGTTCTTGGAACTTGGAATAGGTCCGTTGTTTCATTTATGACTTGTGTGCAAAATTTGAGGTCAATCGGAGTTGGATTGATAGGTTTCGGCATCGATTGTAGAAGTTGGAAATCCATTAGTTTCAATAGGCTTGATTTGGGGTGTGATTCGTGTTTTTTATGTTGTTTGATGTGATTTTAGGCTTCGACTAAGTTTGTACGATGTTTTAGGATGTGTTGGTATGTTTGGATAGGGTCCTGGGGGCCTTGGGTGTGACTCATATTGAAATCAGAATTACTTTTGGACTTATGGAAAATCTGTTGGGTTCAGGTCTTGTGTAACCGCACCTGCGTGGAATTGACCGCAGGTGCGGAGCCACAGAATCGGCCAGGAAGGCACATATGCGAAATTGGGCAGGGCTAGGTATTTGCCCAGGTGCAAGGGAAATTCCGCACCTGCAAACTCACAGGTGCGGGCAGTTAGTCGCAAAAGTGGAGGTGGCCTAGGAGGCTTTTATCGCAGAAGCGGAGAGGACTCCGCAGAAGCGGGAAAAGGTCTGCAGAAGTGGCTGGTCGGAATTTAATTAGGCTTCGTAGTAGCGGGGGATTTTCCGCCAAAGCGGAACAGCTGATGCGGCTGGTGAGCCCGCATAAGCAAGAATGCTGGACAGAAGGTTATATTGAGGTTTGGAGATTTCTTTCATTTTTAGACCTTGGAAGCTCGGTTTGTGGCAATTTTGAGAGGGATTCAACTATATTTCAAGAGGTAGGCTACTTTTTATCACTTTTGCCCATTAATATTGAATACCTGTTAATTTATACACCTAGATTATGTGTTTTTAAGGTGAGATTCGGGAGATTTATGGTCTATGTATTGGAGAGTAAGATTTTGTGATTTGAGGTTCAATTTGTGGTCGGAATTGGATGATTTTGGTATGGTTGGACTTGTTATTAAATGGGTGTTCAGATTTTGTGATTTTTTCGGGTTCCAAGGCATGTGCCTAGGGTTGACTTTTTGAATTTGGTTAAAGAACTTAACTTTATCGTATGGAGTCGTTCGGAGGCCGATTCGCGAGGAAAGAGTTTGTTGGAGCATTGAGTTGTGCACTTTGAGGTAACTAACACATCTAAACTTGGTACTGAGGGTATGACTCCCTGGAATACGTGTTATATGGTTGGTGTTGGGGTGACGCACATGCTAGGTGACGTGCTGTGGGCGTGCAACGTGATAATTTTGACTCGGTTGATTTTGTGGTGTTGTGTAGTTATCTAGTCTTGTTTTATCCGTGAAATTGCGACGTATTAGAGTACTTGAGCTATGATTCATGCTAGAAATCATGTCTAGGCTATGTGCTTATTCTGTTGGGACCCCCTGAGGTTACTTCTGCTATTTACTTATGTGCTTAAACTGCAATTATGTACTCAGTCACGTTTATTCATTTGCATATCGTTTCTCAGTCTCTGTTATCATTTACTGTTACATCATGTTATCATTGTTTGGGCCGAGTGGTATGAGATTTGTGAGCCCGTGAGACTAGAGCGATTGATGATTGAGTTGGGGCTTGGGAGCAGGATTATGAGTGATATTGTGGAGAGGGCTGCACGTCGCAGTAGGACATATTGGATTTTTTATTATTATTATTATTATTATTATTATTATTATTATTATTATTATTATTATTATTATTGTTGTTGTTGTTGTTGTTGTTGTTGTTGTTGTTGTTATTGTTATTATTATTATGTATTGGGATGCACGCCGTATCAGGAATTGTTGGCTTATTTATTATTGCGGATCGGACTGCACGTCGCAGCAGGCCTTATAAGCTTTATATTAGCGCTTGGGAAGGATCCGCCCCTCCGAAGTCTTACATACCAGCTGTGAGCGCAGGCATAGTAATTTATATACACGTGCTTTGGTGAGGGGCATAGACGCCAGGCACCCGTACAGTGCCGAGTGATTGTGTGTGATGAGTGAGAGTTTGAGATAGACAGATTGAGTACTCTAAGAGTGAGAATATCTGAGATTATCACTGTGATACATTACATTTGACATGTAGGCATAGAGATGTACTTCTCATGCTAGTTGTACTTGGCATATTTTAGTGTTGGGCTTAAATTGTTGAACTTGAAAGCATTCCTAAATTTCTATGCTGTGAGCAAGCATAATATGGAAGTTTCTCTGAGTTATTACTGTCACTCTCTTTGTTATATATGTGTTGTCATTATTTTGGTTCTGACTGTATCCTTCTGAACTCGTCACCACTTTCAGCCCAGGGTTAGTCCTATTACTTATTGAGTACATTGGGTCGGTTGTACTCATACTACACTCTGCACTTCGTGTGCAGATCCAGGTACATCTGAACGCGGTGACTGCTAGATCTGGTGCTAGTACCTGCTCGGAGATTTCGAGGTAGCTGCTATGACGTCCGTAAACCTTGACTCTCTTTCCTTTCATTTTATTCAGTAATGTTCTATTTTTCTCAGACAGTTGTACTAGAGTATCAGGATATATTGGCACTTAGTAGCTCATGTACTCGGTGACACCAGGATTTTGGGATTGTTGTAGTTGAGTTACAGTTGTTTTATCAGTTATCTATGAGATTTTCCACTGTTGAACTTATTAAATCATGGTTTGAGTTCAAATGGGTAGCCGTTATGTGATTGTTGGATTGCCTAGTAATATGTTAGGCGTCGTTACGACAGGTCTGGATTTTGGGGCGTGAATATTACGATGATGTCCTGAGTAATTTACTTTAAAAATTGGTACGATTTCTCGAACCTAGTTTTTTTTTTACCTTAAACAAAAATCGGGCGAGTCTTTATATTCAACTTAGGAGAGGTTTAAGGGGCTACTCAGAGTTTTTCCTCAGCACAACCAGACAAATAAAGTGTTGGCCCATACCTTCATAAAAGGGCTACATCCAGAGAAAAAATTGAAGTTGATGTTGCAGCTGGAGGTCAAGTGTTGGAGAAAATCTTTAGTGAAATTTATGCATTCTTGAACAAATTCTTTAAAAGTAATCCTAAGTGGCAAGGAGAGATGGGTAGACACACAGTTCAAAAATCTGTAGGGGTCCTCGAGTTAGACGTTATTTCTGTATTATCAGCGCAGGTTGCCACATTGGCCAACCAAGTCAATAAGATGACCTTGGTTCTTAATAAGCAACAAGCTCGACCAGTGCAGCAGGTTCAGATATTTTGTGAAGTGTGTGGAGAAGGTCACACGAGCAATCTATGCCCAGCAAATCCACATTCTGTATAGTTTGTGGGTAATGCAAATCGAGGCCAGGCAAATCAGTATGGGGACACATACAATCCTAGCTGGAGGAACCACCCAAACTTTTCTTGGGGTGGAATCAAGGTACGCAGAATTAGTACAGGCCACAAGCTCCTCAACAGCAATATAGACCACCACAAGCTGATCAGTTCGCAAACTCGATGGGCAATATTGAGGAGATGCTCAAGAAACTTATGGATGAGAATCAGAATCATGCTACAACCATTCTAAATTTAGAGCGACAAATGGGGCAACTTGCCAGTGCTCAAAATAATCGGCCAGTTGGGGCTCTTCCTAGTGATACTGAGCCTATTCCTAAAGCTCAAGGCAATGCGGTTATCTTGAGAAATGGAAGAGTATTAGAAGAGGTTCCAAATAAAAAGAAGTATACGGCTAATCTTGAAGGAAAATTAGGTCTCAAGCCAGTTGGGGAGAATGAGAAAGAGAGCGAAAGATCAAAGCTAGTAATTGTGACAAGGCCACCACCTCCGTTTCCACAAAGACTGCAGAAGCAAAAAGATGATGCTAAGTATAAGAAGTTCTTAGATATTTTGAGCCAAGTGCGTGTGAATTTGCCTTTGGTGGAAATTTTGCAGAAGTGCCTAAGTATGCTAAGTATCTCAGAGATATTGTGGCAAACAAGCGAAGACATACAGAGTTTGAAACAGGTGCACTTACTGAAAAGTGCAGTGCTAGAGTTCAGTGTAAACTTCCTCCTAAGTTGAAAGATCCTGGGAGTTTCACAATTCCTCTGTCTCTTGGGAAACAAGAAGTTGGTAGAGCCCTGTGTGATTTAGGGGCTATATAAATTGTTGGGGTTTTATTTAACTAAATAAGGAGGTGTGAATGAGAAATGGAAGAAAAAGATTTGGAGGGAAATGAAATGTTTGAAGTATTCCTCTTACTAAGACACTTTGTCCCTCATCAGAAAATGGAAAGAAAATCTGTGTGCTAATATAGAGAAGCACATCTTCAAGATATTAAAGAGTTGAGAAGAAGTGGTGCCTCGCGTCATCGTCGTCGTCGCTCGGCTCGGCTCCGGCTTCGGCTTCGGATTTGGATTCGGTCAATTGATATGATTGATTGATAATATTTTGGACCAAATTTATTTCCTGTTTCCTGTTACTCCCTCCGTTCCAGTTTATGTGAACCTATTTCCTTTTTTGTCTGTTCCAAAAAGAATGACCCCTTTCTAAATTTGGTAATAATTTAGCCTAAATTTATAATTCCACCCTCAATGAGAAGCTTTTATAACCACACAAATACTCTGGGCCCCTTTTTGATTTGTTTATGACCACAAATTCCAAAAGTCTTCATTTTTTCTTAAACTCCATGCCCAATCAAACAGGTTCACATAAATTGGAATGGAGGGAGTATTTATTTTCTTTTTCCCAATATTCTACGCAAATTTTAGTTCTCGGTTAATTTCCTAACGGTCCTAATATTCATTTTCGAATTTAAAATTTGCGACCAAGCAGAAATATTTTTTGCCAAAATGGTACCTCATGTGAACATGTAACTTCGCACATATTCAACCCGGACGGTTTGGCTATAAATTCAGAGGCTTGGCCTCACTTTTCCATCACCAAAAATCTGCATGCTCTCCCCTCTCTCTTCTGCATTTCTGCATTGTTTTCAAAAGCAAAACGTAAGCATCAGTGTGGTTTACTGTCGTTTGTTGAGTTCAACGAAGTTCTATAATTGCCATTGCTGATTTTATAGAATAATTGTTCCGTTCTATTTTAGGAGAAATTAATACAACAACCTTGGGCAACAGTGAGGGGGTTAAATTTCTTAAGGAAATATAGTTTTTCTGTTGGGCTCGGAACTTTTATTCTTCTGATTCTATTTCTGTTTTGTTTCTGCTTTCGTATTTATTTTGCAGAAATTATTTTTCAAACACAAAGTGATAACATAAATTTTATGTCATCATCTTTGTTCAAGAAACAAGGATTGGGGGTCCTTAGACCGACTACAATCACTTTACAGTTGGTTGATAGGTCACTAGTGGTGCCAGAAGGAATTATTGAGTATGTGTTAGTTCAAGTGGGAAAGTTTATTCTTCCTGCTGATTTTATTATTCTTGATTACGAGGAATAAGGAAGTGCCCATTATTTTGGGATGACCGTTATTAGCTACTGGTGGAGCGATTATTGATGTGAGGGAAGGGAAGCTAAAGATGAGAGTTGATGATGAGGAAATCACTTTTAATGTGTATAAGACACTTACACTCCCTAAGCATTATGAGGACTCATGCATGATTACTGTGATGGAATCAAAGGGGATAGAGCAGAGCTCTTATGTGAAGTGTAGTGATCCTGATGGGAAAACTGAGTTAGAGGGGGTGATGTTGCAAGCTGAGTGTGTAAAGATGACTGAGAAAGGAGCCAGAGATGAAAGAGGAGACCTTCCTAGAGCGTGCAAAAAGGCTAGATTTCGTGGGAGAAAGAAGAAGCCAAAGCACCCAGTCTGAGCAGAGTAGCAGAGTCGTCCCAAGACTACAAATAAGGCACTTGTTGGGAGGCAAACCAGCATTTATTTTTGTTTATTTTTTGATTTTTTTAGTGTTGCGTTTTGGTTGTTTTTAATTTGCGGATCAGGGAAGTCTAAGTACCCGAAGTTGAAGTTGAGGAGTATGTTTGAGCTTAAGTGTGGGATCGTCCCGACTCTTATTATTGAGTATCATGTGCTAGCTAGGCCCTAGAGGGTCTCAGAGAGTATTTTTCATCCTTATGTTAATATTTTTCTCTATGATCATGCATCAAGAACTATGCATGGAAAAGTGTGGAGTGGGGGACTTACTTTCTGAGTGTAATTGTATAAAAAGATTCTCATATTTTTTATAACCCATAGATAGTAGTAGTCTAGTTTAGAGTAGTAGATAGTTATTCAAAAAAACGAAAATAGAGAAATTCAGAAGAAAAAAAATCAGAAAATGCTCGGACTTTTCCCGACGATGGATCTCTTGGACAGCTTTCTTGAGGGATTAAGATCCGATTAAAAATACCAAAAAGATTTTTTTTATTTTTTTTTAGGATAAGTAGGTAGTATCCCTTGATTTTTATTTGGGCACCGGTTCTTTTCCAAGGGTGTAGCCTGAACCGAGTATTTTGCTTTTATCTTGTTAGGAGTAGGATAGGAAGAAAACTGAGTTCCTCTAAGATACATGTTGACATGTTTGGTGCTGGAACACTAGGCTATGGCATGTGCTCTGTCTTCCTGCTACATTTGATTTGGATTGTGATGCCAAAGTAAAAATAAATAGCCTACTTTGTGACGCATGTTCTCAGTCGTTTGACTTGTATGTTACCTAGTGCAATAATGCTTAAAATTTCTCAACTATACGTACTTGCTTAACTTGAGAGTTGAACCGGACTGTCTTGATTGATTCATGTGCAATGTGTGTGTGTGTGTGTGTGGATTTTTTGGTATTCTGTGCTATCCTGTATAGTCTAAAACTGGCCCTGTGTGTTAATCGAAGCAAAATTATTAAATTGTGCTAGTCTAGGAGATGACATAGGCAGTTCTTTGCTTGATCATAGATGTGCTTGTCACTTACAAATAAAAAATTTCCATTGCTAACCTCATCGAGCCTATAGACCTTTTTATTGGCACCCACACTACAAGTCGTATCCCTATTTTGTTCTTAATTTGAGCTTGTTGAACCTTTACCTCCGGAGGCACTTAGGCGCTAAAAGAAATAAGGTGAGAGATTTGGGAGGTAGCTTTCGAGTGGAACCATAGAAAGTCCCATAAGGTGCACTAAGGTTGTGAAAAAGGTCACTAGCCGATGAACCTTAATGTATGGAGTGTTTGTAGGAAAAAGCAAAATGCAAAGAAAAAAAATACAAATAATATTGATAGTCAAAAAAAATAACACATCTCCTAATCTTACTAATTCGTGCTAGTGGGGATGTAGAAGTTCTTAATTGAAGAAAGGGCTACGTTGTGTATGGTTTGTGGCGAGTGAATTGGTTGAGAAGAATATGTGCTTGATTCTTGAGTGTAGTGTATTAAAGTGCTTAGGAGGGTTAGTCACTATCCCTAAATTTATCCTACCCGTCCCTTAGCCTACATTACAACCTATAAAGACCTAATCGATCCTAGACTTGGCTAGCTTAGATTAGTAGTGATGTACACTATGAGCAAGCTTATGGTACGACCACGGGATGCACATGAATTTCTTTGTGAGAGTGAACGAATTTTGTACAACCATGTGATGTCCTTAATTTATGTTCAAAGTCATATTTGAATGTGTGAATATTTCTATATTCACTCTCTTGTTTATTGGTGAGGGCACATGATCTCATGACGGATTGGTGATGTTGCGAACTTCTCTTGTAGGGTGAGTGCGCGAGTTGAGGGTGCTTCATGGTAACGAGTCGGTTCTTAGGTAGGGTGGTTATGGATAGGTTGTCTGAATTGGCTGAATTGAAATGTTTATACTTGGGCATGTTCAAAACAGGAAGAATGTGAATTCCGTTTGTTCATGCTTGATTGCCGGTATCGACCATAGTCATAGGTAGAGAGTATGGTTGAATTGCTCTTCCCTAGTTGAGATGTACGTTGTTGGGGTGTAGTTTATAGTTTTATTGCTCAAGGGAAAGCAAGAGTCTAAGTGTAGGGTGTTGATATTCAGCTTAAAATTTGTATATTTATGTGCCTATTGCCTCACATTTTACTCGTATTTTATGAATGTAATGACTTATTCTAATTCTTGGTATTATTATGTGTAGGAGTCACCGGGAGGCAAAGTGGAACCAAAGTGTACGAATCGAAGCAAAAAGAGAACAAAAGAAAAAAAATCGGACAGTGTAGCGCCCAGGGTAGCGCGGGGCGCTAAAAATTTGTAGAACACACGCTAAAAATTTGTAGAACACACACATCTGTCAAATCAACTAAGGGTATACGAAAGTCGCACTTCTATTTAGTAAAAGTATCTAACTAAAAATGGACTCAGTTGAGGTATCTAATTGGTCGTTAGGGATAACTTAAAAGGATTATTATGTATTTCGCCAAAGAAAAAGACATGTCATTCGCCTTTCTGTACTTTGCAAGATGAACTTCCTTATGAGCTCATACAGAAATTGTAAAGTTAGGGTTAAAATCAATTCATTTTAGATGATAAGGTGCAAATCACAAAATGATACATACATCTTAAATGCAAACAACTCGTTGTGAAGAGTTACTAATTGTGGTAAATCAATTTAACATGATACTGCGTATTTCGAGGTTCTTTGATAGTTGTATGATCCCATGTTAACAATTTCATTTATTTCTCTGGTGTTCAATTACTGTACAGAGACCAGTTCACACATGCACAGGCACGCTAAAAGAAGATCGAACTGTGATTTTATTTTGGCCTCTTGACACAAAACTATTCCCTTGGAGCAGGTGCGGGAATCCAATGAGTGAGTTCAGAGAGAAAAGGAGAGACAGAAAGTGTAGAAATAACCTTTCCTTTCAATGACTAGATTAGTAAACAGCTAACTTTTCCGAAAGCTAAGAGGGAAATTGTGTGCCTACAACTAATGAATTTGAATGCATCCTCCAAAATTTTGCGTGCACAAATTTCCCACTAATGAAAAAATTAAGCAGCCTACATCCTACTTACATCAATTGCTATTTTTACATTTTCCTACGTCTTTCATGTCCACCAAGTACCTCTGACCATCAATGTCCAGGCATGTAAACTGCTGCCACGGCAAACCAATTGTCTCTTCATCGGCATCCAACAAACGAGATCGTTCCTGCCTTATCGAGCCCCCGAGAGCACATTCATGATCCCAAGCCTCGGTGCCCGAGAGGTTTCTTGCCTCCAAGATTAGAGCTAATTGCCACCACTCCCAGGTGATATCATAGTTCACATTTTGGTATCTACCCGATATCCGTGAATTCTGGAAACACTGACCAATCGTCAAGTCCCGATATGAAGTCAGGAACATATTCATGTTGGAATACATCCTCACTCCCCAAGTTAAATTCTGAATTTAGGTCAAACAGGGTCCTGTCTTCAAAATCATGTCCACGTTCTGTGAGGAACGATAATCCCACATCAGCTCTTGCACAGGAATCATTAGATGCAGATGGCATTGGCAGGATAACTAGATCCTTGGTCTGACCAACACCACTAGATTCCGTTGGAATCTTTCTGGACTTTGATTTGGAGACCTTCACAGAATCAGAGAGCTTGTGCTTCCCCAAAAATTGTGATTTCAATGGAGTTCGTGAATTGGCATCCCCAACAGGAAAAGCAAGAGAAGCCCAATCCAAACAACCTTCAGTACTAGATGCAGCCCTGAAAAGCAGAAAATTAACATGTAAATCCTAAAAGCAGAAAATTAATATTTAAATCCTAACCCCTGCATAAATATGAAATTAGCTGAGAAGACTGATTAATTTGGTCATTTGTACCCATTAAATTTGAATGCCTACCACCTTCGATAGTGCTTCCAAAATTATATTCGAGGATAACGGTCAAGAGGCTTGGGAGAGGAGGTCAGGAGGCAATTCTAGGAGGACTTAGATGAGGTGGTGCGTGGTATTCCGCACTCCGACAAGATTTTCATAGGAGGTGATTGCATGGCGGGTTCGGTTTTGGGGTTAGGAATGAAGGTGGTACTTCGTTGCTGGATTTTGCTAGAGCCTTTGACTTAGATGAGGTGGTGCGTGGTATTCCGCACTCCGACAAGATTTTCATATGAGGTGATTTTAATGGTCATATTGGGGAGACAGATAGGGATTATGATGATGTGCATGGCGGGTTCGGTTTTGCAGTTAGGAATGAAGGTGGTACTTCGTTGCTGGATTTTGTTAGAGCCTTTGATTTGGTGCTAGCTAACTCGTGTTTTCAGAGGAGGGAGGACCATTTGGTCACCTTTCGGAGCGCGGTGGCCAAGACTCAAATTGATTACATACTCTGCAGGAAGAGGGATAGAGGCTTACGCACTAATTGCAAGGTTATTCCGAGTGAGTGGCTTTCGACCCAACATAGAGGATGTTTGGATTGACTTTTAAGCTGGTCAAATCAGCTTTTAAGCTCTTTTTAGCTTTTTTCAATGTCTGGAAAGTCAAAAAGTACTTAAAATAAGTTAAAAACT